TTCACCTGTAAGTCATCTTTTTTAAGAAATTTCATCTGGGACCATTAATCATAATGTCTGATGTGTTTCCATAGGCGAGTGTCATCAGAAAACGACTGAAGTATTGAGTTTCTTATGTGTTTTGGTAAATCAATGATGAACAACAGAAACAATGTAGCACCAATCGGGTAACCCTGACCAGTTCCCGATGTAACTTCAATGGGGCTCGACATGTCATTATTCAGTTTGACAATCTGTTGGCGACCATACAAATACGATTTGATCCACTAGAGTAATTGTTGATTCAGTCCCATAATATCCAATTTGCGTATTAGTAAATCAATGCTGACCGAGTCAAAGGCCTTCGCAATATCCAAGTAAATTGCATCGGTTTGTATTTGGTTTTTCATTCCTAAAATTGCACACGATGTAAATTCAGCCAAATTTGTAGTTGTAGATTTTCCCTCCACAAATCCATGTTGACTGTTATCAATAATATTCTCCATGTGATAATTAAGGTGTTTGGCAACGATGGAATCAAGCAACTTCGGTATTACACATTGCAGGGCTACACCACGATAGTTTTCAACTTTAGCTTTAACACCGGTTTTTTGCACCGGTCTAACGAATGAACTGTTCCAAATTTCAGGCACAAATCCAGTGTCTAATGATTTCTTCAGCATGTGTGTTATTGGTTTCAACAGTGCTGTAGTACATTCTTTGACAAAAATATTTGGTATTCCATCAGGTCCAGATACCATGTTGTTTGGAAGGTTATTTATCGTATCCATAACCAACTCCTCAGTAATGTTGATAGTTGGTAAATTAGCACACAGATCCTTTAGCAATGGTTCATCTTCAGAATAATTCTCATTTTTGGTATAATCCGGTTCAGTGTACGCTTTGGCAAAATGTGTTGCGAAAAATTGTGCTATCACACCTCGGTTACTACTTTTCTTATCTCCAAGAACCATTTCATTCGGAAGATCAACATTCGTCTTTTTGGAACCATTCACGAATTCGAAAAACTTCTGTGGATCTTCATTGATAAGGTTTTCCATTTCGAGTTTGTAGTTTCTATATGCCAAACGTGCGCTCTTTTTGTATTCTCTTCTCAATTTGGAGTGTTCTTTTTTGGCGTAGTTTTTTTCTTCAATGGTATGTCTGGACCGGAAAACATTTCCATCCAATCGACGTCATTCAGCGACTCATTTATGGTATCGTAATCGGCATTCACAAAATCTCGGTAACTTTGGTTCGAAGTTGGTTTAAATTGGTTGCAATCAAAATTACCAATATTTATTTCATACGATATGTGATGTGACTCCTGGTTCAGCAGGTGACAATCATTTTTGGAACAATTCACGAAATCGGTGCTGTTAGTCCAAACTAAATCAAGCATCCATTCAAGTTGCCATTTTTGTTGATTTGCACAAGGCCCAGATCAT